CAGTCAATCCCAGCACTACAGCGCACCGCTGCCGCCCCCCCCGCAGGCCCGACGGGAGGCAGGCCCGACGCTGCTTCGCTTCGCCCCATTGCCCCGCCGCGCCCAAAGAGGGCGCGACAGCGCGACGCAAACGGCCACCCCTGCCCCCCCGCGAGGGCACAAAAAAGGACGAGATTGCGCAGGCGATCGAAGGTTTCCTGGCTGATGGGGCCCACCGGCACAAGGTGCGCAAAGTGTTCACCTTCAGCAATCCAGCTCGTACGGGCGTGATTGAATTCGACACGGTTACCTCCAAGACCGGCTTCTACAAGAAGATCTGCAACGTAAGCAAGAAGGTGTCCGACGACACGACGTTGTGGTTGACGAGCAACCGTGCATACAAACAACGTGTTCGGGACAAATCTTTGGGACTCATCAAGCATTGGCTTATTGAGAAGGGCGGCTACGATCCAGAGGACGTCCGGATTACATGGAAGAAGGGGCACGTCAAGGCGAAGTCGAAGACTGTGGCGTGGGTCAACGAGGAAGCCGAGATGATCTTGAAGGATTGTGCAGAGGACGTGAAGGAGGAGGGAGGAGGGCGCTGCGAGCTGGAAGAGCAAACGGAGCAGCAATGAGTAGGGCAGGATCCGGGGCGCATCCCGGGGACGTACCAGTACAAGCAAACAGCAACAGTGGGCATCTACAAGGGCTTCTCCACAGTTGCAGGCGCCGGGCCTCCCTGGAAACAGCATCGGTGGAGGGCGGGGGAAGTGTTCCGGCATCTCGGGAGACGTCCCGTTTACGACTTCTGGCGCCGTGAACCAAGAGAGCGTTGATTTCGTTATGATCAGCTACAACGTGCATTCGCTCATGAACTTCGAAGAGAGGCTCGCCGCGATTTCTTTGGAACGTGGTGCCAGACGATGGGGCGTCGTGGTGTTCGCAGAGACGTGGAGAAAGGAAGAGCGAGAACAATTTACGACCGAGGGCGGCCACACCTGGTTTGGAAGCGGCGGCAATAAAGGTCGAAATGGTGTTGGTTTTTCTTCTACACAATCGGTGGGCGCATAACGCATTCTGGGCGGTCAACGATCGAGCAGCAGTCCTGGAGCTCAAGGTGTTTGGAATATGTTATCAGATCTTCGCTGTGTACATGCCGCACGGCGCGATGGACGAATCATGCGTGGACGCTGCGTATGCAATCTTGGATGAATTGTTGCACAAAGCGCAAGCGAAGCAGTGTCGCGTGTTGGTCGGCGGAGACTTCAATGCTGAAGTGGGCCCCCGGGCCGCGGAAGAAGATTTCGACATCATGGGCGAGAAAAACATCCGGAGTCGCAACGAAAGAGGAGATGTGTTATTCTAGTGGTGTGTTGATAACAAGTTTGCGCTCGCTAACACGTTCTGGGGCAACAGTAATGAGCAGCTGTGGACGTATTCGAATGGAGGCGTCTTCAAGCAGCTGGATTACATCTAGGTTCCAACGCGATTTCGGGAACACGTCCGTCGTTGTTGCGTGGCTGAATGGTTGGACACAGGTTCGGACCACAGGGCGCTCCTGCTCCGCGTCGCTGTGCACCCAGCAGTCCCAATGCAGAAGGCGTTACTATCCAAAATGGAACACGCATGTTGACAAGGAGAAGTACGCTTCAGTTCTGGATGGAACGCCTGGCTGCTGCACCGCGGCTTTTCCGGATTCGAATGCGAAAGCTCTCTCCTTGGAAGCATCGATGATCGATGCGCTGCGGCAGGCGCTGCCGGGGAAGCAGGGGCCCACAAAGGCTCGCAAGATGCCGGATTCAAGCATTGGCCCGCTGATTCGGGAACGACGAGAACTTCGGGGGCGACAGGACTTGAGCGCCGCAGAGAAGAAGCAGACAAGACTTTCATTGAGCAAAGAAATCAAGAAACTCATCAAGCATAACATTCAATCCCAGAAGACAGAGAATATCGACCACATTCTGAAGGAATTCAAGGGCGTGTCCAGGCTACCACAAACAGGGCGTCCTCAGAAGAAAGAGCATATTGCCAGCATCACCGACGAGGATGGGGTAACGCACGTCTCGAATGCCGAAATCGCAGAAGTGTTTGCGCGTTTTTACGAACAGTTGTATACCGCGCAGAATCATGACCAGCACAGCAGCTCTCTTCACAATTCACATGTTGACGATTTCACCATTGCAGAGCTGGAGAGTGCGTTGTCGGGCATGAAGTCTGGCAAGTGTTCAGATGAATCCGGCGTGGTGGCTGAGATGCTGAAGTGCAGTGGTCAACGTTTTCGCACACTCATGCTGGACCTGTTCAACGATATCCTCACGCCGGAGGCAGAACCGCCGGATAGTTGGAGGAAAACGCGCCTTGTAGTTTTATTCAAGAAGGGTGACCCGAATCTCACGAAGAATTACCGCCCAATTGCTACATTACCAATCATGTACAAAGTCTTCGCGAAGATGCTGTACAATCGTCTCCAGCCCACAATCATCGCCGAACAGTCTGTGGACCAGGCGGCGTACCGGAGGGGCTATTCAACTACCGACCATTTGCTTTCTGTCACCTTGCTTGTTGAGGGGTGCGCAGAATGGAATGAAGATCTTTGGCTTGGCTTGGTGGATTTTGAAAAGCTTTCGATACGGTAGAACACCCGGCTCTGTGGGACGTACTGCGCACCCTTGGCGTGAGCGAGGAGTACGTAGTCTTACTGCAGAAGCTGTACCGGAGCCAGACAGCTGTGGTCACTGCTGGAGAGGAGTCGAGATGTTTCAATATACAGCGTGGTGTGAAGCAGGGGGGCCCCATCAGCGCTCTGCTGTTCATCGCGGTGATGGAGGTGTGCTTCCGCAAGCTGAAGCACCGCTGGCATGGGCTTAACAAACGGAGGGCCGGGCATTACTACGGCATGGTCGTTGACTCCCCAGGCGACCCACTTACTAATTTGCGCTTCGCGGACGACGTGCTGCTCGTCGCTCTCAGCAAAACGGACGTAACGAACATGATTCATGATCTTCAGACAGAAGCTGCAAAATACGGCCTCAAGGTGCACATGGGGAAGACAAAGGTGCTCACCAACAGCTACGGGCAATTGCCTGCGCACGTGCGAGTTGCCGGCGCTGACGTAGAAGTGGTGCCACCCGCCGGCGCGGAACGATACTTGGGAAGGCAGATCTGCCTGGGCAGTTTCCATGAAGCAGAGTTTACGAACAGAGTCAATGCCGCGTGGAGGTGTTTCGCAAAATTCAAAGACATCTTATGTTCCCGTTCGTATCCTCTCCAGTCGCGACTCAAGTTGTTCAATGCGGTGGTTACCCCGACAGCCCTCTACGCCTGTGAGTGTTGGACGATGACTTCAAGCCTCGGCAACAGACTCAGGACGGCTTGGCGAAAAATGGTACGGAAGATATTTCGAGTCGCGCGAGGTGAAGTTGAGTCTTGGGTTGACTACATCAAGAGGGCCACAGAGCATGTAGAAAACGAGTGCGCTTTGTGGGGGTACGAGAGCTGGGAGGTGACGCAGGCGGCCCGACAAGTCAAATTCAGGGACGCAGTGTCGCGCGACGACCCGCAGAAGTGGAGTCGCAGACTGCTCCAGTGGAGCCCGTGGTTCAGATGCCTACCCAAACGGCGTCCTGGCCGGCCTCATCTTCGCTGGAGGGATACTGTTGCAGTTCATGCAGAGTAGTGTGATTGCCGAGTTGTTGTGAGCCGGCGCGGAGCATGTAGTTTCACGCTTTGAGTGCCGCCTGCCCTTCAGAGGACCGCTCCTACGGGAGCCGGCGAGCAGGCTGAACTGAACTGAACTGAACCACACACTCTGTCAGCAAGCCCGCGCGTGGACGCCGTGCGCGCTCGGCGCGACGCCCGCAGGCGCGCGCTGGCCTGAACCGCCCGCAGCGAGCCCGTGCCAGCAGGGTGTCCAGCCATTGGTGCTGGCGGGCGCGGGCGGGCCGCGGCTGCCTCCACTTGCTGCCGACAGCGAACCAGACGGACACCTCGCAGCCGCGCGCGCCCAGACCGTGCCAGGCGAAATGTAGCCTGGCGCCTAGCGCGCCCCTCTGACGAAGCGCTGGCCACGCTGCGCCTCAGGGCCGGATGCGTGCAGCTGCGCACGCACCCGCGCAGACTCGACAACGAGACGAGGCCCCGGCCTGGGTGGCGAGGGGGCAACATTCAGCACCACAAGCTCGGGCCCTGCAGGCCCCAGTCCGCGGGGGTGCCGCGCCCGCGCCGCGGCCAGACATGCGCGCCTGCGAAGTTTGCTGAGCGCGAGGAGGCTCTCGGGCCGGCACTGCTGTGCGCTGGCGAGCCTCCAGAGCTTGGACTGCACCAAAAAAAAAACACGGCAGCCCAGAGAGCAAACGCCACAGAAGCTTCCAGGACTGTGGCCCTGCAGCTGGGCACGCCGTGCCCGTGGGTGCAGATGTGCCCAGGGGCGTGCGCAGGGGCAGGGGCTGCATGGCCAGGTGCTGGAGGCGAAGACCCAGAGCAACGCTGGCCCTCACTCAGGAAGGTTGTCCAACGAAGCGCGTGCCACGCACTCACTCCTGAGTCAGCGACAGCAACTGGCTAAATCAGACACATGACGTGTGAGTGGTAGAAGTGCTCATGAAACCAGCTGAAGCTGATCTTCAAGCCAGTTCTGGCCAATCTCGACTCAGCAGGTTTTACAAAATCATCGCAAATCTTCAGTGAATCTTCATTGTCGCAAGTATGCTCAGGAAATCACTGTAGAAGTGATCCTGTGCAAATGCAGTCGACAATGATTCCTACTGCTACGGCGACTGCTGCGATAAAACTAAGACAAACAACAGCGCGGTACTGCAGTAAATTTGCGCACCCAGGTTCCCCCTTTGGGTGGTGGCGCGCGCCTCCCACACCCTGCGCCTGAAGGGCATGTATAGGATCTTTTGCAACTGTCGCCCCCCGAGCCCGCGCGCGCCCCGGGGACAGCGCCGCGCCCGCACCCACAAGGGCGCCGATCCTGCGCAGGCACGTCGGGGCCCGCCAGCGCGTGGCAGCCAGACTCAGCTCGCCGCAGCCCTCCGACGCCCACTTCTCGCCCGCACCCGCATGGCCTCCGAGGCGCACGGGGGTGCTCAGGCACTGCGCGCACGCGCTGCGCAGCAAGAAATGACTCCGCCGAGGAGCCCGACATACTCATATCATGGCTGGAGTGAAGATAGCTGAAGCGAATGAAGCAAGTATGAATGATGGAGGCCGCTGCCACCCGGCCGCGCACGGGGACCGGCCCCTCCGCGCCAGGGACCACCCCCTGCGCGCCCCCTATGGAGTCGAGAGTGCGCCGCGCGCACTATGCCCTGGACGACTGTCTGGGATAGCGGCCGCGCAACCGCCACGGCGTCGAGAAGGTGCCACGCCTGCCATGCCCAGGGCGACCTTCTTGGATAGCGGCCGCGTTCAGGGACCACCCCTGCGCGCCCCCTATGGTGTCGAGAAAGTGCCACGCCTGCTCTGCCCTGGACGACCGGCGCAGATAGGGGGACCTCCCCGTGCGCGCCCTCATGGTGTCGAAAAACTGCCACGCCTGCTGCAGCCTGGCCGACCGGCGCCGATAGGAGGGCGCCACCCTGCGCAGCCCCATGGGGTCGAGGAAGTGCCACTCCTGATGCAGCCAGTCTCGAATCAGCAGATTTTACAAATCATCATGCATCTTCGGTGAATCTGCATTCTCGCAAGCATGCTCAGGAAATCACTGTAGAAAGGATCCTGTGAAAGTACAGTTGACAATCATCACTGCAGCTATGGTGACTCGCGCGATGAAACTAAGACCAACTAACAGCGCGGTACTGCAGTAAATTTGCGCACTGAGATTCCCCCCTGTCTGTGCTGGCGGGCGCCTCCCACACCCTGCACCCGAAGGGCATGGGCAGGATTCCTTGCAACTCTCGCCCCCCAAGCCCGCGCGCACCCCGAGGAGAGCACCGCGCCCAGGCGCCCAGGGCACCGCGCGAGGCACGTCGCGCCCACGCCCCGGACCCCGCCAGCGCAGTCAGTGCTTCGGCGCCCACATCTCGCCCGCAGCCCCAGGGCGTCCGAGGCGCGCGAGGGTGCCGAAGCGCGCTGCGCAGCAAGGGGAGCAAAATGCCCTCGACACAATGTGTCATCCAGCCCGCGCCTGGAGGCCGCGTGCGCTCGCTGCGCCCAGTCAGCCGCAGCCGCGCGGCAACGGCTGGAGGAAAGAGGCGGGCCAACCGCCGGCGAACCACAGGGGGGAATTTGGCGCAGGCCTGGGGGAAATTTGGCGCGCCATGGGAGGCACCGCTGAGCGGCTGTCAGCGCCAAATGTGCCGAAACAGCGGCGCCTGCTCCGCTGGCGCACGACGCCTGCAGGCGCGCGCTGCCCTGGGCCGCCCGCAGCGCCCCCGTGCGAGCGGGAATCCCAGCTCTGCGGGCCGCCCCTGCCTTCCACTTGCTTGCCGACGCCGAGTCAGATGGCCTGGCCCATCTGCGCGGCGGGCAGCTCGCAGCGGCAACCACCCAGAGCCCGCCGGGGAAACTCCAGCCTGGCGCCCAGCACGCCCCTCTGGCGAAGCGCTGGTCGCTCCGCGCCACAGGGCCGGACACGCGCAGCCGCGCGCGCCCCCGCGCAGACTCGACAACGAAGCGAGGCCCGGGCCTGGATGGCGGGGGGGCAGCAGTCAGCATATCAGCTCGGGCCCCGCAGGGCCAAGCCCGGGGGGGGGGCTGCGCCCGCGGCAAGGCCAGACATGCGCGCCCGCGCAGCTCGCTGAGCGCGAGAACGCTCCCAGGCCGGCACCGCCACGCGCTGGCGAGCCTCGAGGGCTTAGACCGCAAAAAAAAACAGGGAGCACAGAGCGCAAAAGCCACAGGGGCTTCCAGAACTGTGGCCCCTGCTGCTGGGCACAGCCTTCCCGAGGGGCGGGGAACAGGGTGCAGATGGTGCCCGAGCATGCGCAGGGGCAGGGGCTGTATGGGCGGGCGCTGGAGCCGAAGATCCAGATGCGCCCTGACCCTTGGATCCCCAGCCACACCAGGCTACGGATGTTCTCGGCCTCAACTGGCTCGGCAGGAGCCAGCTTCCATACCAGGGCGCGGCCGCTTCCAGAGGGAGTTGACAGCAGGGAAAGAGTTAGCCTGGCAAGAGCCCCCCCAAGCCATCCCCGAGGAATGTCTGCGCGAGGTAGACAGCAGGGACGGCCCGCGGGACTACATACAGCACCATACTCCACCCAGGGGAACACATTTCAGCAGCGGTGGCTACCGGCGGGGCAGTATCCGCCACCACCTGCGGCGAGGACGGCCACCTCTACACGTCTACCCCCATGTGGGTCGCCATCGCCCTGCCAGCCGAGGCCGATCTGAGAGCAGCCAGCCGAGGCGCTGACCGGCCGCTAATAAGGGTATTCATTCAGCTGCTGCACGGACCGGCGAACCTGGCAAAGCTGGACGCCACGCCAGCACATCCCCCCCTCCCGACGAGCTAGGAATTTGCACCAGCCAACCCCGCAGCAGGATCACACTTCCGAGAAGACATGCTGCGGCGGATCCACTTCCAGGCCCAGCTCGCCCGAGAACGTATTCCCCCCTCGCGGAAGTGCTCACACACAAAGTGCGACTCAGGACCCAGACAGGAAGCACACTGGTCAGGGCAGTAGGCGATGCCGTCGCGTGCGCACAAGGCATGCTCGGCCGGTTCCAGGCATGCATCGACGAGCAGATCACTCACGACCTGGCAAGAAGTATGCAAACCAGACTGGTGTTGGAGCAGCGGCGACAGGAGGAGGGCAGACCATCAGAAGATACAACTGGGATCTCTTTGCAGCCATTTGGATTCTTCAGCTGACAGACCCTGCCACGCTGGACAGGGACCACCTCCACCAGCTCATCAGGGAGCCCGGAATATAAGAGGGGGCCACCAGGCAGCTCCCCTTCGCGCAGTGGCTCTCCCCAGAACCAGACCCCGCACACACTGCCCACCACCCCTGGTTGGAGGTCCCAGGGGGTTGACAGTGACGCAGCACACAGGATGGCCTCAGGTACGCTTGAAGGTATCCAGGCTCTAGATGAGAGGCTCCGAAGGGCCGCCGGTCAGGACAGATTGCGACACGACCCAGGGAGAGCGCCCAGAACACAAAAAAAAACCCAGAAGCAATCAAGCGCACCCCACGGGAGAGGCCAGAGTTCGGAATACGCGGACCAGGCAAGAGCAGCCGCAAGGGGCACGTGGCAGGGGGCAAGACGGCCCACAGGCGGAGGACGGGGAGCCTCCCCAGGGCCCGCGGACCCCTTCCAACAACCGCCCATGTCGACAGGCTAACCCATCCAGCCGCGGTGCAGACGGGCACACCGCAGACCGTGCGCCCGGGCAGCCAAGTGTCCCATTCCCCAGCGAGCACCCCGAGACATCGAGAAGGGGGAAGCAACGGCGAGGGCAACGCCACGCCGTCGGCATCCCCAGGAAGCGCCCACGCGAGCGACACCCCAAGCACGGGAACGACAGGCACCCCCAGCCAGGAAGGTGGGGATAGACGCCACGGGGCCGAGCACGCAGGACGGCAGAGCCCGCGAACGCAGGCCCCACCACACGCGGAGATAGCGACGGGAACGCGGCACCCACAAATGCAGCAGCCCACAGAAACCCTCGAGGGGCATCGCCCACAGCACCCGGCCCCTCAGCGGAGAGAAACAAGGGATCACGCACCCGACGGCAACGACACCTGCCCCCCAGACGGAAGGAAATGCACTGACAGGCGAAGGCGACGGGGGGAACCAAGCCCAACAGGAACCAGCAGGCGAGGTCCAGGCAGAAGGGGTACCGCAAGCACAGGCGGGTAGACCAAGACCACCCCCAGACAGCGTCGCCCGAACCCCACCCGGAGAGCCGCTCGGAAGAGGCGATACTCCCAGGGCGAGCAAACACCTGCCACCTTGCATGAGGCGCCAATGGGAGCAATTGCTCAGCAGTGCGGCTGGGACGCTCCGCACCCATGGCCCACCCGCCCAATGGAATGGGCTGGGATGCACGGACGAAGCAAAATGGAGGACAGTACTAAGCGCCATATCTTGGGGCACGTGCACGCTGCAACTCGAGAAGCAGTTACGACAAGTATTCACCAGAGCGCATATTTCACACAGGCTGATCGCCCCCTTCAAGGCGTACTGGGCGCGAGCCCTAACGGAAGAAACATAACATCAAAGAACGCAGCCCTAACGGCGGATGACGCATGCGCACACCTACAAGACGCAACAGGCAGAAGCCCCGACGCAGGCGGGCCTGCGAGCCCCTTCTCCCCCCTAACCGAAGTGGTTCTTGAAGAAATGCTCTCCGTGGCCGCCGGTAGCAGTCCAGGCCCCAGCCCCAGCAGGCTGAGGAAAGTCGACCCCACCTGGCCCAACCTCAGGGGAGAACCGCCTCTGGGGAGTCCCGCCGAGCGACCCTCGCAGGAAGCTGGGGCGGCCCCCCCCCCCCAACTTCCCAACAGAGGAGGCTGGACACCGATGGACAGCACGCAGGAGCCAGCGCGGCCGCGGGGGCTACACCACAACACCAGCCTTCAGACCAGACAGAACGACAGGGCAGAAGCAGGACGCGGGGGGGCTCGGTACGACTGCAGAGCAGGAGCCGAAGCAGACGGACCCAACAAACAGGCCGCTGGGAAACCAGGCTAAGACGCAGGGCAAGGACGGGAACGCCAAGGACGGCAGAGAACAACCCCGGACCCTGATGACAACACGGGAATCTCAACCGGTAGCGCCAACACAGACGCGACCTGGAAGGGGCCGTGCACGCACCTTAGCGGAGCAGCAAGGAGCAGGAGAAAGAACAAGAAGGGCAAGACCGAGACTCAACCCCCACATCCCCAGTGAACCCGCCGCAGCCCCTTAAACGATTGACGTTCTCCAGCAGGTATGGTCGCAGCACAGGGACAGCGAAACTGGGCTCGCGACTAGGAAAACTGAAACACGACAAGAGAAAACTGAAACACGACAAGGCACGGCTTATTTACGACAAGCATTTTCAGCGCCAACTTTCGGCGCCCACTTTCGGCGCCCACTTTCGGGGCCCACTTTCGGCGCCCACTTTCGGCGCCCA